GCTGCTCTCTGATTGGTCTGTTAGGGTTGGGTAGTGGTAAAGCGCAATCTTGTAGGTAGCTTCCCATTGACTTGGCACAGTTGAAACAAGTAGCTTTATTTTGACTTGTATTTCTTGGTTAGTGGAATTGCTGTAGTCTCTATTTAAAAGAATCGAGGAAATGCATAGGGAAGTCATTTTGATTGTGTGTGTTTTCGATGTATATGTATATGAAGTGCCATCGTTAGAATCTATCTTAGCAATATGTGTCTATCCCTAAATGTATATAAAGATGTTCCTTTGCAGTGTCAATCATCAACCCCAACAGTGTTGAAAAGTGTACTCTTTTTAATCATGCATAGGATGTGAGCACTGTATAAAGCATGTAAAGTAGAATCTATCACAGAGTTTTTACCTCAAACTGGAAGAAATGATATTGTAGAATAGAAGTTTTTTTTTTAAGAATTTTGTTTTTATTTGCGGATTGTTTCTGAGATCTATCTGATAGGTCAAAGTTCATATACTTTTATGATCATGCTGTTTTTGTAAACTTCTTGGTTTGAGGTTCTTTTTCCCCCTTTTCTCTTACTTGGCGTTATCGTAAATGTATTCCCATATTATGTTAATTACCGTATGTCATCAAGTTTAATTGTTAGGCATATATTTCCTCCAATTGAAAACAGAAAATTCTATTTTCACTCATATGAATGTAATGTATGTACATTCAATGTTATAAATAAAATGTGTTCATTTTAGAACTTTAAAATGTTTGTCTTCTATATGAATCATGGTAGATTTTCCCCATCGGTTTGGTGCACCTCTTTTTCACATGGGGTCACATGGAGTTCAACATTGCAATTGAATTCATAATGAAAAAAAAAAGTAATAAGCAATTATGCAATTTGACAGAAATTGCAATTCAGGTGTGTAAGTCTATTTCTGCTCTGTACTGTACATTCCTTGGAAAATTACCCCTCCAGACTTTGAAATTCACACTCACACTCTTGCTCTATTGGTTTGGACCCCCCTTTCATTCAACTTGGATTGTTGCCATTTACCTATTTCCTTGTATGCTGAACTTGAGGACATGAACTTTTGAGACGCCATCGCTATAAATTGCTCCATCTAATGATGGAACCCTTCTCTGGTGTAAAAGTAAATTATCAAAACGATTTGAATGGCTTCTGTGTCGCCTATTTACGTCATCGATTAGATTTGTCACTAGAGGGCGTAATTTAGCGGCAAGACACATGGAACACCTACAAACCAATGAAATTTGTCATAATACAAATCCCTCAGGATGGTGGTGGGCGCTCTCATTGGATGTTGGTATCCGGGCTCCAAAACAAGCTGTGGAATAGGCTTTACTTCGTGCCACAAGCTTTATCGACTTGCGACAAGCCCTTGGAGTGTACATACAGTGC